CTCCACTATACTATAGGTCTGTTTCAAATGGTAGAAAATGTCCATAAACAGAAGAACAGCTCATTAAAGGTCAGCTTTAACCTGATCACCTTTTCTCTCTTTTTCTTTGAACCTTATTTGATACCTTTCAGTGAGACTGGAGTATCTTCTTGGGCTTAATTATATACAGCGCAGTAGATAATTAAGACAGCTCTTATTTTCTTTCATTCAGAATACACTGGGAATTTTTGTTAGAATATTATCAGTACACATATTTTCTATTTCATGACTTCACCGTCATTTCTCTTCCATTTAAGTCATTTAATCCAGGACCTTCCCTCACTTAGCCTTTAGCTCTCTTAGACAAGAAGTGAGAGGAGAACTCAACTATCTCCATTAGATTAGATATGATCTCCAATGTCTTCTCCCCTCCCTTAGGAGATTTGATTCTTGTTTTGATGGGATGTGACCTTCTACTAACCTTGAAGTGCTGTTCTAAGCCCTGGTATTAAACTGTCTCCATTTTAGCCCCTGCTCCATTTCTCTATCTGTAGCTATTTCAGACCAGGTTCTTCTGAACATGGAGTAACATGCATTCCTCTGTAGCTGCAAGCCTACTTTTCATCCCCTCCTTTCATATCTGGCAAAGCAGAAGCCCTCCAATGTCCCACAGATGTCCCAGTGCAGTCTCTTGGTTATTCTTTTTTGTTGTTGATACTTGTTTCATTTTGAATTTTGGTCATGTTATCTGCTATTTTGGAGTCTTCCATTCCCACATGCTTGACAGACTAAGCTTGTGAGTGGGGGTTGGAGAGAGGAGGGATAAAGGTAGAGTGACAGAAAAAGGCCTCTCTAAATCAAATATCAGACCGGACTAGTGGTGGGAAATAAAGCCGGTGCTGCTGGAGGCTATTCTCTACCGTTTATTTCAGTGTGTTTACTTCAGGCGTCTTGTGTTACATAAACAATGGTATTTGTGTTGTAAGTGATGCAGCAGAAGTTACTTCTGATAGCTGGTGAGAGAGATGTGTGTGTTTATAGCCACCTTGAAACTTTAGATTTAGGTTAACCAGAGGGTAAAAGAGCTGGTTCTAGTGGCTCTCCCACAGTCCCAGCAGCAGAAGGTAAAGGTAGGAAGATGCCATGTCAAGGCCAGTCTGGGTTATATGAGGCTAGAGACCCTGCTTCAGTCCATCAGTTCCATCCCTTTACTTTAAGGGAGCTACAGCAATACAGATCTCGTTTTAACTCTTCCGACTGGAAGGAGCTTAACAGTCAAGGGGACTTGATGCTCTCACAGAGGACCCATGTAGGTGGCTCACAACCAGTAGAATTCCCAGCAGAGCTAAAGTCCTCTTATGGCCTCTCTGGATATCCACATGCACTTACACATACACATAAGTAAACAAGAAAATAATTTTTAAAGAGAAAATTTTAGAGGAATGGGCTAATGTGTGCAATAGGGAGAGGAAGGGAACAAATGAAGGTCACAGGATCATGCTTTCTGATCACTCCTTCATGTCTGCCTTCCCTCTTGCGGGTAGGTAGCTTGATTTCAGAGTGAGCCCAGTAGAACTCAGGGGGTTAAAGTTTGGTAAAGAAATGGAAGGGTGGAACTAGAGAGGTGGGTCAGGGGTTGGAGCATTGGCCACTCTTGCAGAGGACCTAGGTTCAATTCCCAGGATCCACATGGTGCCCGATAGTCAGCTCTAACTACAGTCCTAGGGGATCAAACCCCCTTTTCTGACCTCCACAGACCCTGCATACACATGGTGCACAGATACACATGGATGTAAACTACCCATATAAATAAAATAAAATCTCAAAAAAAATTTAAATAAGTGGGCTTAGAGAAAAATGACAGAATAAAAGAAAGGGAACCTGGGCTAGAATCTCATCCCTCTTTGTTTTCTAGAATCTCCTGGTGTTTGTTTCTATCTAGACATCAAAAAAAGCAAATTATACCAAATACCTGAATCTACAGCTTAGAAATGCATCCTATGTAATACTAAACCGTGTCTTAGAGACTGGGTTAAAGACAGCTTAGACACTTAGAGTGGTGTTTGAGGAGCATGGCACTTAGGCAAGGGTCGTCATGGTGGCCGTCCTCTTAGTTTGTGCTTGGTCCTTTTTCCCTGTAGCACTGGTGTGTTTGTTGTTCAGGATGAGATACCACCCAGCCTCCAGTTAGAGCACAGAGGATGTATTGACTAGGACCAGAACGTGAGGCGGGACTGGGGAAAGCGAACCGCAGGAAATACTGGAAAGAGGACAGTTCTGGAAAGAATAGCTATTTAAGTCACACGTGCCACCTGTGACCTGTGAGATACACTCTAGAACTCCTCTCTCTCCCCTTTGTAGACCTGAATTCTTTTCTCTTTCCGCCGGTTTGCCCTAGGCCTGTTTCAGACATTCCTGGGGTTGACCTTGGGGCCTTCAGTTGACCAGCTCTGTGCTTCAACTTCGTCCTGCCTTCCAGTGATTGTTGCATTAGCTTGGTGGTTCCAGTCCTCACTGACAGTTCCCCTGCTTTGCCTCCCCTTATTTAGCTTACAAACTCAGCCCCATCTCCAGGAGCTAAATTTTACCATTTTGGGCTTTGATTCTTCTTCCCAGCGTTCATAGAATTTGAAGAATTATAGTCAGACTTGTATAAGTTTATGCTTTGCAACATACTAAACACTGTTTGCACCCCGTGTCTGTGCATGAGATGCTAAATTCCTGTGGGAGACAGCAAAGAGGACATCCCTGCCATAGTAAAATCTGGATAAATTAATGTAGACTCAAAATCCCTGATCTCTGAGTGAGCTCAGTAGAAGTCATGGGGTTAAAGTTTGATAAACAAATGGAAGGGTGGAGCTGGAGAGGTGGGTCAGTGGTTGGGGCCTTGGCTGCTCTTTCATTGCCCAGAAAATGACTGATACACCCAGATGCGCTCTTGTATAAGGGAAGATTGTGTGGATGCTGTGCTTGCTTAGGAGAGTTTGAATACTGCATTACCAGCCCAGAAGACAGGAAACAAGATAGACTGGTTTATTCTATGCATACATGAGTGAAGCTGAGCTAAATCTCATCCTGCTTATTATGTCTTGTGTCAAGATTCTCCACTCTCTTTGAAGATTCGAGTTAGCAAGCAAGCCTTTGCCCATCCCCACATTCTTAGATGAGATCTAGCACACATGGTTACCTTAGTAAAAAATGCAAACGCGTACATGGCTTTCAGGGAAGAGGGAGTCCTGGAGCCACCTTACCCCTGGAGAGAACCTGATCAGGTCATTGTAGCTACCTCCCTCGGGTGCTGCTCTTCTATAAACAGGAGCAGGAATTCTTCTTGCCACTAGATCCCTGTTGTCAGGTGGCTTAGGCCTGCTGAATGAAAAGCCTTGTGAAAGGAGATGCAGCCCTAATAATAACAGGCACGATCCTGTTGGCTATTCTGGGCAAGAGAGGCTTTGTGCCGCGCTTGATCTCTATCGATGCCTGCCATTCTTGCCCTGCTGTTACCTTTGGACTTCCTATTCTTAGAATCATTTTGAGCCCCGGACTTGGGGGATTGCAGCCCCCAGGACTGGAATGCCCAGCGTGAGTGGAATGCAGACAGTCTGAAGAATGGAGGTTAAATAAAGTTTGCCTTGTCGGCCCCTCTTCTCTTGGATGGCTGACAGGTAGTTTGGATATAAGAGCAATGGCATGAGCTGCCATGTAGTGCAGTCCCGAACAACCTTCTGGGTATAAGGACACGTGGTTGATGGTCCATCCTTGACCAGCATAGCCATGCCTGTCTCCAAGGAGATACATACTAAGGAAGCCTCAACAGTGATTAGGTGTCACTAGGGAAAAATACAGAAACGTAAGGAATAATGTTGACACACCTTCCAGGTTTTCAGCTGAGCTCCAGAATTGGTTTATCTGTGCCTGAGAGTTACTGAATCATGTTTGAAAGCAAGACAAAGGGGAAAGCCTTCATAATGATGAAACTAGATATCACTCAGCAAATATTTCTTGGGCTACAAGGTAGCCCAAGGTAGTACAATTTCTTGGGGATTTTGAAGAAGTACAAGGCATTGAATTCTTGTGGTACTGACAGTCTACTTAAAACATAAAGCTCGAAGCATGTGGGAAAGAAATTCATATGCCAGAGTATGTTAACTACACACCTTCGCGACAGCACCAAGTGCCGGAAGAGGCGTCAGGAAAGCACTTGAGCTGGGCCTCTCAGGGAGAGTTTCATGCAACAGGGAGTGAGTGTTCACATGAGACTTTGTGGAAGCAGAGACGAGAGCTTGAAGCAGTGTGAGGGTGTAGAACATCCTGAAGACAAAGGCCTCACAGGCCTCCTGACCGTACCAGATGGCAAGGAGGAAGAATAAGAGATTGTGTGAAAATCACCAATATCATAACTCCAGGGCAGTGATTGTAGGAGAGAAGGAGACTTTGGGTACAACCCAAAGATTACTTTGAGATTGGGGCCTGCTAGCATTTCTTCTGCAAGTGCCTGATACAGTGTTATCACAATTGCTTGTCTTGAAATGTGTGGTCCCACTTGTTGAGCTGTCTTGGTTTTCCATCATGAAGGCTGCTGCTGACTGTGGCTACTTATATGAATTATACTCTCTCAGTCTATTAGGATGAACCTAGGAAAAATATAGTGAATACATAAAGTTTGTAAACAATGGAAATTCACTTCTCACACTTCTCAGGACTGAGAAGTCAGGGTCCAGAAACTGACAGAATCAGTCATATGCCTACTTTTTGGTTCACAGATTTCTATCTCATTCCTATATTCTTACATGGTAAAAGATGAAACACCTCTTTTGGGGGCTTAAGTCTCTTTAGAAAGAACACTACAGCCACGTTCACAAGGGCTATGGCCCATGACCTAATTACCTCAGAGCCCATGCTCACAAATACTGTCTCTTCACAGCTGGGATTTTAAAGTATGAGTCTGAGCGGAGAGGTAGACAGCCAGCCTGTTGCCTTGAAAATGGCTTTTCTGAGCTTTCTTCTCTCTGCTACCACAGGTGGCTAGAAGTACAGGTGGCTAATCTAACGTGTCCCCAGCGCTGGGTGCAGTACCTCCGGCTTCTTCAGGAATCTATCTGGCCTAGTGGGGCGCTGTCTAAGTTTCCACGGCCTGGGAGGACTCAGGCACAGAAAGCAGCTACTGAGAAGCAGGCTTTGCAGAGCTTGATGAGTATCCTGCCAGGTAATGGGGCCAGTGAGATGGTGATACTTACTGTTAATGTATATTTTTTCCTCCCATCCTGCTTTGCCACTGCTGCCTGACATTCTTCCCTATCTCCAAAGGGCCCTTAAGGTCCCATTTCTCCAACTGATGGGAGGATGTGATTCTTCATTGCTCGCTCACGTTTGATGAGCAGAGAGTAGAAGGCTCACTTTGACCGCAGATACTAAGGAATAGGCGTGTGGGTTTAAAACTTTGGGACAGTTCTGCAAAAGCTATTGCTGCAGTAGCAGATCTCAGCACTGTTCCCACCACGTAACAATGCTGAGTTCTCTGCTAACTGATGGTATTTGGGGACTAGAGAAGAGCATGCTATCTCCTGAGAGCTCACACTTGATTAATTGTGTCCTTAGCAATAGTAAAAACACAGCCTTCTCTTGTGTTGTTTTTCAGTGCCAGGGAAGGCCGTTTGTTGCCTGTGGCTCTGGTAACCAGGGAAGAGTAATGAGTTCAGCTCTGGACAATCCACTTGAGTTACCTTTTCACCAGCCTAAGCACTGACCTCAAAAATATCTCTCCACCTTTGTGGCAGGTCGCAAAGCCCTTGAGGCGCATTCTAAGTTACATATATTTAAAAGCTGTATTTTTTCACAACTTCTCTCTGTTCTATGGTATTTTCATTTGGCTGTGTACCTTAGGGCTATCCTAGAAGTAGCCAATCTGTGGGCTAGCATGAGTTCTGGGAGATGCTCTTCTTTGATTCTAAGGCTACCGTGGTCTTACTTGGTTTTTCTCCTTCAGGTTTTTTAGTAAACATCCTGGGAGTGAACAAGTGCCGGCTGAGCTGGGGTCTGGTCTTGGAGTCATTCCAGCAACCCCTCATCAACAGGTAGGCCGGAGTGCACAGTACCCAGCACAGTGTAGGGAAAGCTGTCTGCTGTCTCAGGTTAAGGTTGGTAAGGGCAGATCCCACTGTCAGAATAGGTCTGCACTTGTGCTGACCAAAGGGTCAGGATCCAGATTCTACACACACTCAGTGAAAGCTGTGCTGCCAGCTTCTGAGCAGTGACTTGGTGGTAGAAGGCTGCTGTGGGACCAGTCACTGTCTATGTCTGGAAGAACTCAGTGCAGACCCCAGCAAGAGCTGCTAAAAGTGCTCTGCTAACCTCCAGGCAAGCACAGTCCTTGTGACTAAATTCCATAAAATGTCACTTTATACAATTACATCAGCACTTCAGCACTGTGCTGAGGAAGTGTGCTCAATGGTTTTCTCCAATATTTGTCAGTCCTATGTCAGGAATATGCCCTACCTGTTCAGGCTACGTAAAGTCTTTCACCGCAGGTTCCCAGCTTCACAGCAAAGCTGTGATTAGTACTGAGATCAGAAATTGTCATTGTTTAGTGGGATATAGATAGGGTTGCATCATATAAAGGGACTAGAACCTAGACATTTCAGGAGATAGATCCCATCTCTAAAGCGAGACAGCTTTGAGGAAGTATCATATCCCCTAGCACCTGCCTTCTCAAGCCTCCATCAGTGTCTAAGTTCTCAACTCTCAGACTCAAGGACTCAGTTCATGGAGAGTAAATTCACTGTGATCCATCATCAGAAGCAACAGTCAGCTGTAATGACATCCCAACAGTTCTTCCCAACAGAAGAGCAGTTCTGCAGAGTAGTGCTGGCATGCTGGCGTGCTGACGTAGCTGTGCGGAGAATGACATGACAACAGTTCTTCCCAAGTTCTGCAGAGTAGTGCTGGCATGCTGGTGCCACTGTGCAGAGAATGTGGTTTTGCAGAGTCTGGTCTCCAGTACTGTTCTTGTCTTTATTGAGCTGTAGCTTTCAGTAGTGCAGTAAACACTGATTCCATGGCAGCTCTGCTACAGACTTTGCAGCTGCTGGTAACAGTTGAAGCATCTTAAAGTTCTCTCTAAGACAAGAGCTATATGAGGTAGGCACTCTTCTCAGTTGGTGCTATCCATTTCTTTCAGACATTTGATTTACTGCCTTGGAGACCTCATCCTGGAGTTCTTGGACATCAGTGACTCCGTTGAGGAGCCTGCCCCAACCACCTCTGCCTCAGATTCCCCGGGCAGCCTCAAGAGAATGGCTGTCTCTACCTAAGAGTCATTCACACCATCTTCAAAGGCTTGGAAAAGAGAGCTTTCAACCACCCAGAGACCGATTAAGATATCTGTGCCCTCTGGAGCTAAGCTACCTTAATTAGCCTCCATCTCAGGGGCTCAATTCTCCTGCCAGATCTCCCTTAGTAAAGGTGATGGGCATCAGTATCCCAATTGCATGCATATCTGTTTCCATAGTCTTATGGCATGTGTATTGCTGCTGATGAGGAGGTCTTGTTTCTTTGGGAAAGGACACCGTGAAGCAGAGACTTCTTTGCCTTCTCACCATCATGGTTTACCAACAGCATGGCTCTGTGCATGTGTGCACCTAATCCACAAAGGCACAAGGAGAAAACTATAGCCAGATTTCCTAGGAGGAGAAACAATCTCCTGAGCTCTCTTTTCCCACCTGGAAACTAAACGTTTGTTCGGGATCACTCCTTTGCCCTGCCTAGTGCTACAATAATTCCAGAAGAGGGAAGGAAAGTATGTCTCGAGGGACTTCTTGCTCTTTGGCTGTTTTCTCACACAGTGGCCTTTTAGGGGATGTCAGGAATGCTGCTTCCTTGGGTGGCTATACTTTTCCTGTCCAGAAGGCTTCAGAGCACAGTCAAACTTCTGGTAAATCCACCCCACCCTTCACACCCTTTCCTGCAAGGGTTTACACTACAGATTTTCTTAACTCTCCTACCCAAGAGCAAATGAGTTTCAGGTTTGTAAGTTTCCCTCTATCCTAACAGAATTGCATGACAAGTTATATATTCAGCCTCAAGTTTTCCAGAGAGAAGGGAAAGTACTTGTTCCATGGCTGAGGGTGTACAAAGAACAGCAGCTGGGATAAGTGGGAATCCCCTCACAAGACTTTGGCCAAGAATCGTTTATTCTGAACTCATAATATAGCAAATTTGCAGAATATAGATTTTATTTCCCATTCCTTAATTAATCCTTATGAGCCTGGCAATGAAAGCTGAAGTATTCTGCGTCCATTGGAAATATGGAACAACTCAGAGGAACTGTTAGAAGAAAAGGGAGTTGGAAGGAGTCACAAAGGAAATGCTACTCCCAGTAAATGCTTATGAGTCGCTGGCATTCACATGGTACCAATGGGAGACCATACCCAACCCCCTGCTCATTAGGATCCACATGGATGGGGGCCTTGGAGGAAGGCTGATGAGAATGGGGTGAGGCACCAAGAGCATTTTATTTTATGTAAGAGACCCACCTGCCCCAGAAGATAAGCTTTCCTCAAGAGGAAATGATGAAAATAACTAGGGAAATCATCAGGACCCATCTGGCTTTGAAGAAGATCTGCTAGGCTTGGGTGGCATGGTCGGGTCACGTGATCTTCAGCATGTGGAAGAGCCCGAGTGTCAGGGTGAGGCTCAGGCTGGGAGAATGAAAAGCAGGGAAGAACTGACTCCTCACTGGCCTGCTGATTTTCTCTCCTTTTTGATCATCGTTTGTTTTGCTCTGGCTTTTTTATGACTACGTTTACTCATTAATTCAAAATATTAATATCTGAAATAAGACCAACACTCTTTCTGTCCTGATGCTGTATCTAGTGAAAATATGAGGGATGAGCTCTTTCTGTCAGACTCTAAATGTCATCCTTACCATTATTTATTGAAGTGCAAGAAAGCTGTATTTACTTATATAATATTATATAGCTATAATAGCCCACAATTTTTTTCAAGATATTGGATTAAGTTTTATAGAACCTAGAAGGAAAATGCACTCCCAGATCTGAGCATAGGAACATGTACAAATTTACTGTTAACAGAAGTTACCCCGACTTCCATTTTGAAGTTTCAAAAAAAACATGACTTTGTGTTATAGGGGTGCCATGGAGTTTTGCCTATAAACACTGTCGTACACCACATCTCTAAAGATTCCCATCATGTGTAACTAACTCCGTGGCCCACCCTCACTGCTGGACTGTACACATTAAAAATGGTTGACTTACAGTAGTACTTACTCCCAAGGATACAAGAAGTACTAAATGAAAGTCAGACAGATAAAAGAATAGTTTTTCAAGGAATAAACAATGAGTGTGCGTTGATAGACATTGTCTCCGTAGGGATATTCATTCTGCCCATAAATCTCCTAAGGAAGTTGCCTTTTGTTGAGGTCATTTGCATATATTATCATTTATCCCAGTAGTCAACACCATGAGGTAAGTTCTGCCATGTTGCTACTTTATAGATGGGAAGCATGACACATAAGTTGACACATGACACATCAAGGAAGTGACAAAGCCTAGATCCAAGTCCCATCAGTCTCCTGAAGCATACTACAGACCACTCACTACTTACTCAGTACTAATGCTCACAGTCTTCAGCTGCCTTTTTGTCTTACACAGCAAAATCTGACCAGGTTCTCATTTAGTGAAAAGTCTCTATCCTGATGCAGTAGCCAGAGAGCTCCTGTAAAAGGATCCAAAAGCAGATGCTTCAGGCATCGTGACTGCACCCTCAGCTGTGGCCACTCAGTTCTTCCGTGCTCGTGAAAACAGCCACCAGCATCCATAAATAAGGGAAGCTGTTTTCCAGCAAAGTGTGAATTAAAAGCACAGGCAGCTGGCCAGACTTGATCCTTGAGCGGTAGTTTTCAGACCCAGTCCAGTGAGTTACAAGAGTGCTACCCAAACTGCTATGTCTATGCAATTCACCTGCAATCTTGTTAAAAAAAAAAAAGAAAGAAAAAAGAAAGAAAGGAAGGAGGGAAAGAAAGAAAAGAAAGAAAGAAAGAAAGAAAGAAAGAAAGAAAGAAAGAAAGAAAGAAAAGAAAAAGCAAGATTTGACTCAATAGTCTGGGATGGCATCCAGTAAAAATACAAATGCCTTGCAATGTGATGTTGATGACATACTTCCCACCCCTTTACTGAGGAGACAGGTGAAAGGCTTCCTTCAGGGACCCCACCCAGCACCTGTCACATGTCCTTTCTACCACAGTAATATGACTTTTCTTCCAGCTGAAGGCTCGCCTGTCCAGGATAGAAAAGGGATGGGCACCGGGGAAGAGCTGGTCATAGGCAAGGAGAGAGGAACTATGGTGCTTTTGTAGTTGAAGGCCCAGCTGGACAACTCTGCCATAACTTGACCTCTGTTTCCTTTCCACTGGAAATACCAGAAATCACAGGATAGTCATTCTCACTGCCTTTGTGGAAAAGAGAATGAAACCATTGAAGGGTGAAGTTCAGCTAACAAGCCTATATCATTACTTTGAGGTGAGACACTGCTACAGAAAAAATGGGATTCCTCAGGAGAGCATGAGGGAGCCATTGTCCCAGGCATCATTCCACATCCTGAGCCTTACCTGAAAGCTCCCATTGCGTAGAGATAACACTGAGTGTCTTTTTAAATAAGCCCAGGGCATTGCAGAGATGGCTCAGCAATTGAGTACTGTTTTTGCAAAGAGATCAGTTTCCAGCATCCATATCAGGCGACTCAACTCCAGGAGATCAGTGCCCCCCCCCTCTCTCTCTCTCACACACACACACACACACACACACACACACGGACATTCTCCCATACATATATCCGCATACACACATAATTTTAAAATCTAACCCAAAAGTAAGTTCAAGCACCAAGAAAGAAACAAGTGAAGCTCATTGGGACCTACTCCTGCGGTGAGGTAGCATCAGTGACAGGGCAGATCCCGCTCAAAGGTGGCAGAGGCCAAGTCACGTGGCGGATATTTGAGCTGCTCTCAAACTAACTGCGGCTTCCTGCTGTCTCCCCAGTCACTTCTCACTTGTGTCTAGTTCAAAGTCCCTGTCAACTCTGCTTCTTTGGACACAGAGCAAGCATGCAGCAGGAGGGAGAGAATGGCTTGTGATGGCCCCTCGCCAACGTGACATTGGATTTCTCCAAAGACCCCTCCTCCATCCTGCCTTTCCCAGCAAGCATGTCTAGAGAAGTCAGTGTTACAGGTTCTGAAGTGTGGATGGTTGCAGGTTGAGAGGGACCATGAAAGGAAAAGGAAGAACCAAATCCAAATTCAAATGCCGAGAGCATGGCGTGCTTCTAGAGACACGGGCTTTATGTAGCCCAGGCTAGTTTTGAACTCTCTCTCTAAAGTGCTGTGACTGTAACTACCATACCCAGCCAAAAACCATTTCCTAAAGTAACATTATCTACTCCACCCAAAGTAGACCCAGGTTACCAGTCGGTGCTTGCTTAGCGAATACAGGCTAGTTGTAGGATTAAAGTGTCGCAGTGGTTGACCATATGTCTGTGAGTAGCCCACACTTGGTTCTCCTCCCTTACTCCAAGTCACCGCTGCACTCCATTGTTACATACAAGGGAGAATTGGCTAGGATTACTCAGAAACTTTAGTTTATAAGGGTGAGAACCAAGCACAGAAGTCTCTGAAAACGAAAAAAGAGACCAACAGCCTGGGAAAAATGGCCCAGGGGTTAAGAATGTTTGCGGCTCTTCCAGAGGACCGAGTTCAGTTTGCAGGGCTCTGATAGTGCAGCTTGCCAGCACCTGTAACTGTAGATGCAAGGGATCTGATGGCCTCTTCTGGACTCTGAGATAACTACAGACATATGCACATGCTCCCCCCAGACATACATATACATAATTAAAAATAAAATGTTAAAAAGAGTGAGACTTGACTGGGCGGTGGTGGCACATGCCTTTAATCCCAGGACTAGGGAGGCAGAGGTAGGTGGATCTCTGTTAGTTCGAGGCCAGCCTGGTCTACAAGAGCTAATTCCAGGACAAACTCCCAAGTTACAGAGAAACTCTATCCTGAAAAAAAAAAAGAAAGAAAGAAAAGGAAAAGAAAGAAAGAGAAAAAGAAAAAAACTCTGGCCTGCCTATATGGGTTAACATGAGTCTGGAGACCCGAACCAGTCCACTGACCCCCTTGCTATAGAACCATCCTATCCTCATGGCTGTTAGATAGATTAACCTTGAGGCTATGTGTGAAGTGCCTGCACCCCATATCTTGCCACCAAGAGAAATAGACCTTGTTAGGGAGGGAAATCTAGACTTCACATCCTATCAGGACAACTCCTGTGAAATCCAGCAGCAGCAGTGTGAGAGCAGGCTAGGCCCTTTTCATCTTCATGTGCTTGTGTGCTCAGCTTTCTACTCTCTAGGAAAGCGATTCTTCGCAGTCGAGAGAAGGCAGTTTTCATTGAGGCCTTCTGGGTC